CCGGTGATGCCTCCTCAACAAACGCTTCAGCAGCAACAGCAGCATCAGCTTCCCCCAATGCAAATGCCACAACAACAACAACTTCCTCTTCAACATATGGGCCCAATATCTGTGGGCCAGCCAATGTCACACCAGATTCAGCAGCCACTGCAATAAACAAACAGTTGGGTTATTTATTTGTTTTAGTAAAGGTTTTAGATGTAGATTTCGAGTTTCCCACTCGAAAGTGACGTAGAGCAGTCGTTGAAGGCTTCAACAATCTGGCTAAAAATTCATGTCTGCCGGTAATTTTGTTGTACAGATGAGACTAGCTAAAAATGATTCGGCGGTAGAGATGAGTGTCGTTTTGAGAAAAAGTTAAATGAAAAGATTCGGCGAAGTGTTTTAATGCCCTTACTGCGACTTTTCCCTTCCCTTTCAGGAGACTTGAACATGTTTGATATCTTCCTGTATATAGAAGGGCGTTTATGCTTCCTCTTTAACGCTTCTACCTGCTTTTCAAAAGACTGGTTTGATTCAAGAGTCGAAGAGAAGGACCGCAGGTATGACTTTAAAACGGGAGGTATTGGAAGGTTGTTGATCTCATAAGCGTTTACATTTTGAACTATGCGACGATAGCATAAGTCCTGAAGTGTGGGAACTGGTAGCTCAATGTCATACATGCCATTTCGTATTAGAACTTGGCGAGACAAATCTTTCAAAGATTCTTGAAGGTTATGATCGCAGAGCGCACTCACTTCAAACAGATCCATTCTGTGTTTTTTTGCGTACGCATCTGCATGTTTTTTGTCAACTTGACGTCGAAAAGCAAGGTGAACACGGTTGCCAATGAGGATCTTTGGCACACCAGGTGCGTGCTGGTAATACAAGTTAAATATTATTTCAAACATTTCTAAAAACTCCAATAAAAGTTTCGCCTACTTCATCAATTTCAGAACGCCAGTGATCAATCGATTCAAAGGACCACTTTGATGTGATGTCATACACCAGAATTATTCCGTGAGCTCCGCGTGAATACGTTTTAAAAACAGTTGAAAACCGTCCTTGTCCAGAAGTGTCCCTAGAAAATAAGGTTAGAAATAAACAGTTTTTTCAATTGAACTTATTTACCAGATGCGCAGCTTTACACTTTTGCCATTTAGCAAAATACTAGTAGATTTGTAGTCCACATCAAGCGACCGATATTGAGTGGATTCTGAATCGCCGGGTGCAGCTTCAAGTGTTTGCAACAGCTCATCCTTCCCAACATCACTGTCTCCGACCAGTAAAAACTTGAAAACATTATCGTACGAAGGCTNTTTAGCAAAATACTAGTAGATTTGTAGTCCACATCAAGCGACCGATATTGAGTGGATTCTGAATCGCCGGGTGCAGCTTCAAGTGTTTGCAACAGCTCATCCTTCCCAACATCACTGTCTCCGACCAGTAAAAACTTGAAAACATTATCGTACGAAGGCTCCTCAGAAGGGTACTGAAAATGTGGCGATGTCGGTTGTGGTTCAATGTTGTTGACATACTCAGAGCCGTTTTCCAAGTTTGAAAGTTCTTGCAATGCACCATCAAACTGTTCAAAGAATCTTCTAAGACGATCAGAATGGTTTATTTGCGCCATGACTGAAACGTCAGTCACCTTCTGCACCAAATAAAAGGAAGAATCGCGACCAGAAAAAAAGAGGTCTCAGAGCTTGGTCTCAGAGAATGCGAGCTTGAAGAAGCACTCGGAGCGAGTCAGCTGACTTTCTCTGATTTGAGCGCCACTGCAGTGCACTGTGCACAGCTGCACTACAAACAACCGCAACAACAGAGCCACTTTTGAAATAGTGTGTACATCTACCAGTTTGGATTGTTTACTTGCTTTGCACGTCTACTGCCATGGCCGAACCAGAAACCCTCGATAATGTTCAAAACACCACTCTATCAAGTGATCGTAAATCGGAGCTTATATCATACATCATTTGTCAGAAAGACGCATTTTTTAAATCACAACAACGAGATGAAGCTGATCTTAGTAACGAAGAAAAAGCAGCTATCGTCGGGAAGCTTTTTGATACTGATCAATCAATGTTTTTGTCTCGTTATGGAAAATATTTAGACGAATCATATCTCAATTTTATACTTGACAATGTGTCTGATCCTAAAAAGGATGACCACATTGTTATGCAGATAGAAGCACTAAAGGAAAAAGACCGGGATAAGAAAAGTAGAGTGAAGAATCGCCGATACAATGCTTTGCAAAAAATGCTTCACGGTGGTAGCAGCTACTTCTCAAACAGTGAAATGCAATCCAGAGACCCTTATCTTTTTGAACAGATGGTAAAAAATAGTATAACAATTTTTTCACCTTAACCAGTACGTTACAACAAATTGGTCTCACTGGTTAAAATACTTC